GCTTATTCAGTAAAGTTCACAACATTGTACGACATCTGACCTTGTTTGTGTCTTAATCTCGCTCTTGGGATTGTTTAAGAACCCTCCCCGATATCAGATCGGGACAATCGGTTTGGGGCTGGGTCCTGATGTTTAACAAAGCTAAGGGGAGACATTTTACCCATGACATTTTGGTTTCCAACATTAACTTGGTAAGCTGCTTTATTTTTTTTTTTTTTTTTTTTTTTTTTTTCCTCCATTCATTCATTCAACATTTCCTGAGCTCTGTGGGTGCCATGGGGTGTGGTATTGCCACTGTGTACCCAGGGCAGCCAGAGTCTCCTTGACTACTCTGGATACAAAGTGTGGGCCCCTGTCTGAATCGATTACTTCTGTTGTTCCATGCTGAGGTATAATCTCTTCAAGTAATATTCTTGTAACTGTGTGGGCCATGGCTCATGCTGTGGGAAAGGCTTCCACAAAATGGGTTAGATGATCTATGATTACTAATAAGTATTTATACCTCCCTACCTTTGGTAACTCGGTGAAGTCTATTTGTATTTTTTTTGCAAAAGGCCTACGAGCCAATTCTCTTCCCCCACGCACTTGTTTCCTTATTTAATGTTTATTTACTTTTTGGCAAATGAGATATTCCCCCACCACTCATTTGGCTATATCATATATTCCAATACACATATATTTGGTTGCAAATTGATCTACTAATGCCTGGGTTCCCCAATGAGTTTTCTGGTGAAATTGTTGCATTATTTTGGCAGCTACAGGTTTTGGGAGAACTTCTCGGCCGTCCGGGAGTTCCCACCTCCCACCAGGTTTTTGTTCAATCCCCATTTGATTCAATTTTGCTTTCTCTTGTATAGTAAAGCTTAAGATCTCATGAGGTTTCCCATGAAAGAAACACCACTTATGACCTGGTTTCTCACATACACATTCTATGCCATCTACCCCAAAGTCTTTCCAGCAAGCGCAACAGGAGCAGTCGCTACTTCCACAGTTAACACATTGCTTTCTGGCTACTATAAGGTCATCTAGGTGCAGTGCCAATAAAGCTGCCCTTTTTACCTCTTGATCAACAAGGTTATTCCCTCGTACTAAAGTGTTTAGCCCCCTCTGGTGTCCTTTTAGGTGTACTACCGCTATTTCGGTGGGCCCCCGTACAGCTTGTAGAAGTTGTAATATTAACTCCTGATGCACCAGATCCTTCCCCTGGGTATTAATTAGGCCTCTTGCGTCCCATATTTTCCCAAAAGTATGCACTACTCCAAAGGCATACCCAGAATCGGTGTATATAGTTCCTACCTTTCCTTTTAGCAGTTTCAAAGCCTTCAACACTGCATATAATTCACATTCCTGTGCTGACCAGCCGGGACTCAAGGGTCCCGATTCTATAACTTCAAAGGTTTTTTTCCATCGATTATGGCATATCCTGATTTCCTTTTCCCCTCCACCACCCGAGAGGACCCATCTAAAAATAATTTTTCTCCTTTTCCCAACTCTTCTTTGCTCCTTTGGGGAATCTGGTGGGGAGTCTAAATCTTCTGGGTATTCCGGCGCAGTCGGGAAAGGTAAAGGAGCCGGAGGTGGGGGTGGAGGTATGTAAGGAGGGGGAGAAATAGGAGTTTCATCCTCATTGCGTGTCTTCTTCTTCTTTTTTTTTTTTTTTTTCTGACCCTTTCCCCTTTTTCTTTGAGAGGGTATAAATTCACTCGGGTATCTGATACTAACCATATATGTGCATAATCACTCTCCTCCAAACTAAAGGGTTCCTTTGAGTTAACATAGATGTTTAAGGCTTGACAAATCCAATCTTCAAAAGACCCCAAAAATGGGCCAATAGAGGCGGTCACCTCTAATTTGTTTGCCTCCCCAGACTTCCATACAATAATAGATCATTTTTACTTTGTCCTTACCCCGCCTAGAAGGGGTAATCTTCCCAATGGTTTATCATTAAACCTAAAGGACTATCTGGTGGTATTTGGGGGTACCTCATCCGGGGTCCCAGACCACCCATGGGATCAGAAGGCTTGCTCTTCTTCTGTCCCATCTTCTGGAGCGCCTTCACACACTCACACAATCTCTTTCCCCCTTTTCGTGGCCCAGTCCCTTGTGGGATATGGGAACCGCACTACCGAGGGGTCCGCACTCGCTTCGTCCTGCTGGACGTCTCACAACACCACGCTCCGGGAAACCCAACCCCAACCGAACGGAATACTGGCCTATACTCAAGCAACCTTGCGTCTTTGTCCAGGACTTCGTGCACAAAGATTATGGGGTTACCGGTGTTCTTTTGCTTGTTGCCGAATTTTTTAGGGTTCGTCGGTCGGGGCTTCAGCGGGGCAATCCTCAGACAGGGGCCGCTATTCAGCGGGGCGCCTCCCCCATATGGGGCTCTGCCAGAAAGCCGTGATCCGAGTCACAGCACCAATTTTGTTATAAAGTTGGTCTCCCAAAATTGCCCAATTATGGGAGTCAAAGCCAATTAAAATTTCAATTGTTTATTCAGCAAGCGGCAACAATCAAAACAGCGCCGGGCGGCCGGGCAGTTCAACTCCGCCAACGGCGCGCACCCACTCCCCAAAAGTCTTTCCTTTTATATCCTCCGCCTTCCGGTATCTGTGTCTCTTCGAGAGGGGTACTCTGCGTCTGCGCGCCTCGTTGCCAGGGGGTTGTTCTCTGCCTCCTGGTGGTCGTGGGGATGAGGATGAAGGCTCTGTGTCTTCCTCGCATCACAAACTCCTCGTACTTCTTGCTTCCTTCCCTCAACCCCCCCCCTTCACAATCTCGCTGTACTCTGTTCGCTTAGCGAAGCGCTTGCAGTTAGTCCTACGCAATGTAGCAATATGATTAGCCCTGCATAGCTCAGGTGGCAACATCCTTCCCCCTTATCTTCAATGGAATTTTGATGAACAATGTACTACCTATCACATACGTGAGCTTGTTTCTTACATTTTGTGTGGTGCTAGCTTTGTGGACTCAGCACCTAGAATCCCTCTCTGTGCAGACAAGGAATTAAAGAAATACCTCAACCCAGTGTATATTGTCTTGCATACCAGGTGAAAGATTCCTTCTTTTGGGATATCATTGGGATCTCCCACGCAGTGCCTACAGTACTTGTCCTCAATGGCAGGAGAACCTCTGGTTCAGGCAGGCTGGGCAGTGCTCTTTGTGCTGCTTGGGGAAAGAGAGTGTCCCCATGTAGGAGTAGGGGCCGCTGGAGAAGGGAGAGTCTCCTTGAAGATCCAAAGGCAATGCGGTGCATGTCTACTGCCTTCACCTCTGTCTGGCAGAGGATACTGCGGGGTGGGACAGAGGGAACATGTGGAGAGCGGCTCCTCGGGGAGGTGGGGTGCCGCAGCCTCACAGGCCCTGGCCCAGGGACCACCAGCACTGAGAGCAAGGGCCAGCACCTGAGCCCCGGCACCACGGGGTGATGCTGTGGCAGTTGGGGTGACGTGGGGCAGGGTAGGAGATGAGGAGAAAAGGGCCTTTGGAGCTGGTGGCTGATGGGCTCCCCTCTGGGAGGATGCTCCTGGCAATGCCTGGGACGGGAAACCGCCTTTGATCATCCACGGCCCGCCGCGCGCTGCGGGTGGGAGTGGCTGAGGGCTGGATCCGGGGCGGGGCTGGGGGGGACGCGGGGGAAAGCCCCGAGGGTGCTCGCCATGGAGGGCCGGGGGCCGGGGGGGGGTGGGGATCCGGGGGGGATCCGAGGCGGGGCTGTCCCGGTAGGCCGGGAGCGGTGCGAGGCAGCCCGCCTCGCCATCACCAGTCGTGCTCACCCCACACCTGCCTGGCGCCCGGTGACGTCAGGTGCGGTACGTGTCGCCATTGGCGGGGCGCTCGGCCGCGGTAAGGCCGAGCCTGGGCTCTGGGCTGCTGCTGGGGGTCCGAGCTGGGCGTCGAGTGCGGGGTGTCCGGGATCCCATGTCGCCCTTGCTCTATGAATAGGGGCACGGGGATGTGTGGGGAGGAGGAAGGGGTCCATGGGGACACAGGAGGAACAGGTGAGGCTGAGGAAGGGGAACAGGTGAGGCTGAGGAAGGGGAACAGGCAGTTTGAGATGAGGAAAGGATCAGCACCAGGGTTGGGGATGTATGGGGAGAGTGGGAGACGTTGGGGATGAGGGAAAATGACAGGATGGGGTGGGGAACAGTGAGAAGGGTGATGAAGAGACGTACAAGGGTGAGCAGCTGGGTGGGCAGGTAAGGGGGAGCCCCTTGCCCATGAGGTCACAAAGGAGGACAGGAAAGCTGGGCTAGGGCACCCTGGCCTGTGGCCACAAGTGTGGGGGGAATTTGGGTGGGAGCAAGGCCATCCCCCTGGTTGCATGGCTACGATGGCAGCCTGACACCTGGGGCTGTGTCAGTGACCCAACCCCTCTTTTCTGCCCCTGGTGCAGGTGGGTGTGCTGCCTGGCTGTGGGCTGCATCCACTGTCCCTGATGGGAATGTCCTTTGCTGCCAGTTGTGCCCTAAACACCTGTCCCTGCATGGCACAGACATCTCTGCCCCTCCTGTACTGTTGCCCCCAGCATTGGCTGGGACTGAATTTCCCACAAGGGAGGTGAACCCTATTCCCAGAGCCGGCTGCATGCCTGGGCTCCCCATGCCCTCAAACTGTGTGCAGGCCCTGCGCCTGTGTGTCACCATCCCCTGGTCTCAGGGACTGGGATCTGGTGCAGAGGTGCTGATGTACCCCCAGAAGGGTGAGTGTGGGGAAGATGGTTCTCCCTTGCCCTGCTGCATTGCTGCCCCAGCCGACGTTGGCACTGGCTCAGTCCTACTGTTTTGTGGGGAGCCCGCTGTCCCAGGACTAGGGGCTGGGGCCAGGGACACCCTCTAGGTGTTGGGGGGCTGTCCTGGTGTTTCACCCTGGGATCAAGAGTGTGGACATGCCTCTGTGCTGCACTGGGGCTCTGCCCATCTGTCCTGGGGTGGGCAGGAGTCACATGATGCCATGTGCTTGCCGGCGCTGGTCATGGCACACCAGGAGTTCCACATGCGTGGGGGTGTTAATTAGTGGTTTATTATCAGCAAGACGTGGGGGTCCAGTGTGGCCCTGGGGTATCCCTGGTTTGGTGTAGCCTGTGCTCTCAGCACCTGCAGGAGAGGAGGATGTGAGTGAGGCTGGACAAGGGCAAGCAGCCCTGGCCAGGCAGGTCCCATGTGCCTTGGCCTGGAGCTGATGGGGCTGATGCAACTGGATGAGGAGGAGACCTCACCTGTGCCTGTAGTGCCAGATGGCCCCAGCAAGGGCTGCAGCCATGGTCAGCAGCACCACAATGGTGATGCTGACACTGAGAGCTACCTTGGAGCTGCCTGGAGAAGAGAGGAGAGAGGGGTTCTGGGTGTACAGGAGTCCATTTCTGGATCTGCCATCAGAGCCTGACCCACTATCCTTCAGGCACCTTACATGGGACCAGGGCCCTCTGCCTGTACCCCACGCCCCATCCCCATGGGTGGCACCTACCCCACGGGATGAGGAGGCTGCGGGTACCCAGGCTGTGGTGGCGCACGTGGCAGGCGTAGCTGTGCCCATCATGGGGGGCCACGGCCAAGGTGCTGCGGAGCTGGTAGGTGAGGTCAGCGTTGGGCAGGATGGCACTGGTGTTGAGCTCTGGGCCTGGTGGCACCTCCTGGCCATCGCGCAGCCAGGCCACACTGATGGGCCGTGGGTAGAAGCCGGTGACGCGGCAAACGAGCAGGATCTGGGCTGGGCTGAGTGTGCGGGCAAAGACCGTGGCCACGGGCAGCTCTGAGGGGCAAGAGCCAAGGGGTGAGGGTAGCCCTGGTGGGGCACTGCTTGGCCCCAGGTTGTGTAGGGTTTGAGGTGGCCATGCCAGGGTCAGGGTGGTCTCACCTTGTCTTTCCAGAGCTGCCTTCCCATACTCAATTAATTTCTTCATGTGGTCAACACAGGTGACATTGAGAAGGTGCTGCAGAGTCTCAGAGAAGCCGGTGAAGGTGTTGAACTGCCTCTCAACTTGCGCTGCCAGCTGACTCTCCTGCTGCCTCTCCCAGTGGATGTTGTCTATGTTGAAGCTGAGGAAGTTGTGGGCATTGTAGGCAAGATGGTAGAATTTGGTATAGGACCCGTTGGGATACAAGTCGCAGCCGGTCATGCACTGGAACACAAAGGGGTCTGGAGGGCACAATGGGCATCATGAGTGCAGCTAGATCTGGAGCCTGAAATTGCAGCCCAGCACTTGCTTCTTTGGGCACAGCCCTTTCTTCTTCCCTCTGCACCCTAAGTCATTCTCCCCAGGGAGAAGACATGAAAGGCCAAAGCTCAATTAGATTTGAAACTGGCCAGTGTTGTATCAGACAGCAAGAAGGGCTTTTAAAGTACGTTAAAAGCAAGAGGTCTAAAGAAAACATTGGACCGATACTTGTTGAAGCTGGTCATGTGACTAACAAGAATAAAGAAGAAGTGGAGGCATTCAACACTTTTTTTTTTCCTCCAGTCTTTAGAAATACTGATAGATCTTGGGCTGCCTGGTCCTCAGTCAGAGGACCACAACTGCAGGAACAGTGACTTTCCATTTGTGGATGCTGAAATTGTAAGGGATCAGCTGTTTCATCCAAGTACTTGATTTGTCCAAGCATTTGATTCATCTAAATGCTGAAGGAGCTGGTGGATGTTATGGCAGGACACCTCTTGATCACCTACCAAAGGTCTTGAGAGTCTGGGGTGGTCTCTGCTGACTGCAAGCTAGCCAATGTTATTCCAATTTACAAAAAGGGTGTAAGGGAAGACCCAGGAAACTACAGACATGTTAGTCTAACCTCAGTACATGGAAAAATTATGGAGAACATTATACTGGGTGCTACTGAAAGGCATTTAAAGGACAATCCAGTCATCAGGCACAGTCACCGTGTCACAAAGGGGAAGTCCTGTCTAACCAATTTGATATTCTTCTACAATAAGGTCACACACCTTGTGGGTGAGGGGAAGGCAGTGGATGTAGTTTTCCTGTATTTTAGTAAGGCTTTTGATACTGTCCCTCACAACATCCTTCTGGACAAATCCAACTGTGGGGTGGGTGGGTTCATGGTGCACTGGGTGAAGAACTGGCTAGACAGCAGCGCTCAAAGGGTTGCAGTGAATGGGGCTACATCTGGCTGGTGAACAGTCACCAGCAGTGACCCTCAGGGCTCAGTCCTATGGCCATTGCTGTTCAATATTTTGATCGATGATCTGGATGCAGGAGTTGAATGTACCATTAGCAAATTTGCTGATGATACAAACTGGGAGGTGTTGTTGACTCCCTTGAGGGACAAGAGGCCTTGCAGAGGGATCTGGATAGATTGGAGCATGGGGCAATCATCAGTGGGATGAAATGGCATTTACAAGAGCAAATGCCAGATTCTGCACCTGGGAAAGAGTAATACTGGACACAAACATGAACTGGGAGATGAGTGGCTGGAGACAAGCCCTGCAGAGAGGCATCTGGGGGTGCTGCTTGGCACCAGGCTCAATAGGAGCCAGCAGTGTGCCAAGAGGGCACACTGCATCCTGGGGTGCATCAAACAGGGCATAACCAGCTGGTCAAGAGAGAGGATTGTCCTGCTGTGTTCAGCGTTGGTGCAGCCTCATCTTGAGTATTGTGTGCAGTGCTGGCCCCCACCATTTAAGAAGGACGTGAATGTCCTTGAATGCATCCAGAGGAGGACAACAAAGCTGGTGACAGGGCTGGAAGACATGTACTCTGAGGAGTGGCTGAGAACTCTGGGTTTGTCTAGTGTGGAGAAAAGGAGGCTGAGGGGCGACCTCAGCTTTTTGAGGAGGGGGTGTGGAGAAGGAGGTGCTGATCTCTTCTCTTTGGGATCCAGGGACAGGATGCCTAATGGTTCAAAGCTGCATCACAGGAGATTCAGACTTGACATTAGGAAACTTTTAATTGCAGAGATCGTCAATGCCCCAAGCCTGTCAGTGCTTAAGAGGCATTTAGACAATGCCCTTAATAATTTGTTTTAACTTTTGGTCAACCCTAAATTGGTCAGGCAGTTGGACTAGATGATTGTTGTAGGTCACTTCCAACCTATTCTATTCTATTCTATTCTATTCTATTCTATTCTATTCTATTCTATTCTATTCTATTCTATTCTATTCTATTCTATTCTATTCTATTCTATTCTATTCTATTCTATTCTATTCTATTCTATTCTATTCTATTCTATTCTATTCTATTCTATTCTATTCTATTCTATTCTATTCTATTCTATTCTATTCTATTCTATTCTATTCTATTCTTTCTATTCTATTCTATTCTATTCTATTCTATTCTTTCCCCATGTCACTGCTCTGCTTTGAACCAGGTGGAAACTCTGCAGGTGAGAAACCTGTCCTGAGCCCTGCAGCTTGTCATCCTCAAGCTGTCCTGGTGGGATTTGTGGTGCCCAGAGAGCAATAGGGGGCTGGTGTGAGGGTGTAAGTGGAGCTGAACGTGGCCAAGGTTTGTGCTGAACACCAGGATGGCCCCGTGTGACCTCCGCACAGGACAGGGTGGTTTAGGGGTCTTGCTGGTGCAGGATGAGGCCCATTTTCTGCCCTCCTGCTAGCCCCAGTTGGGAAAGCTGTGGGTGGTGACTCTGAGCTGCTTCTTGCAGCTCCTTGTCTTGGGTGAGGAGGTGCTGAGCACCTGGTACTCACAGGGTGTCTGGTACAGCCTGGCATCATTCGACAGGGACAGGATGAAGTTGTGAATGTAGACACTGAAGAGGTTTTTCAGATTCTCCCACTCTGCTGCAGGCAGGGCAGGGTAGACCCATGGGTGGAGGTAGAGGATGTTCCCGGTGTATTTCTGCATGGTAGCAAAGACGATGTCCTCCAGGGTGGCCCAGGCTGAAGTGTCCGCAAAGCTCATGTTGTGGAAGACAAAGGTTTGGAAAATGTGGAGTTTAAAAGAACCTGCGGGGAGAGGGTGGAGATGAAGCAGCATTGAGGTGCATGAGGATGAAGGTAGAGGTCAGGGGTCTGCTGGCTCCAGTGCTGGTGGGCAGCCCTGAGAGGAAGGGTGGTTTGCATTGTCCCTGGAGACAGGCAGGGCAAGATGGGGCAGGCAGGCAGGGTGGTGGGAATCCTCAGTTGTACACACTTTGCTGTTTCCTCCCATGGCCTTGCTGAGTCTCTCCCTGCTTTTCCTCTAATTTCCTTTGTTTAGCCATCCACCTCCCCAGTGTGACCTTCTGGGAGCTGTTACTTGGCTGTGTGGAAGGGATAGCTGGGGGGACCTCAGTGCTGGTTTGGGGTGATGCTTCCCCTGGCAAGGAGCACCCATGCCAGGACCCGGATCCACTGGAATCTGCACATAGTACAAGGGCTGGGGGGGCTGGGAGGGAGGGGCATTCCACCCCAGTTGAGGGGCTTCCGGGCAGTGCTCGAGACCAAACCCTAACTGCAGGCAGGAAACTGAGTTTGGTGCTGCAGCACTGAATGAGGCTCCAGTACTAAGCAGGGCAGAGTGAAACCCGTTTTGGAGCAGTGGGTGCTCCCCTGGCCAGGGCACAGTGAGTGCCTGCCCATGGAATGGGAAGCACAGGCTGGGAAGGCAGGTGAAGGCTCATTGTAGCTGCAAGAGGAACCTTTGAGTGTTGTTTCACAGGGGAGAACGCAGATGATCCGGTGACCCTTTGATTACAAGAGAAATGATCCCTCAGGCTGAGGGCAGTGCCCAGGAACTGCTCAAAGGGCTGGATCGCAGTGCAGGGCTGTTGTGCCATGAGGGGATGAGAACCTCTGCTGCCCACAGGCTCCCTGCAGGAGGCAAGCATTTTTGGGGGGCACCACAGCACCCCAGGCCTGGCTGAGGGTCCCCTTGCCCCCTTGGCTGCTCAGGTGTCTAAATGTAGCCAGTGGTGCTGTGCTGGGCAGGATGGTGTGGAGCAGGAAACTGCAAGCAGTTGAGCAGGGATGGGGCAGCTTTGAGTGCTGTGAGGTGTGTGTGCGTGTGTGTGGGCCCTTGGTGATGGGGACAGTGGTCTGTCTGTGCCCACCCCTTGCCAATTCTGTGGGGTCCCGCAGTGCAGGGATGGGAGCAGATGGGGGTGAGCCAGGGATCTCACTTACCCTCTGAATCTGCCCACGTCCCAGGGAGGAGGAGGAGAAGGAAAAAGAGAAGGAGGAGGCGAGGGAGCCGCATGGTGCCGGCAGCAAGTGTGCAGGAACAAGTGTAGCAGAAGGAGGAAGGGGTCACGTGAGCTGTGACCATGCACTTCTCCCCAGGGATGCTCTGCCTGGGCAGCTCTGGCTGTGCCAGTGTCGTGGGGCGGCCCCAGTAGCCAATGAGACTGGTGCTGAGGTTTTAGGGAGGGCCTTGCTAGGTGTATTCCCCCGGGGGAAGTGTCAAAGCTGGTGGAGGGCTGGGCTGGGGTGCTCTGGCCAGTGGCTGCAAGTGCCAGGGGAATTTGAGTGGATGCGAAGTCATCCCTCCTGGTTGCAGGGGACATCCCTCCTGGGTGCAGCAGCACCCTGACACCCAAGGAGATGCAGGCTGAGCCTGGCCCGTGGTGGCCTTTTCCCCCTCCCGTGGTAACCCCCAGAGGTTTACTCTGTAGTCCCTGAGTATAGGGTATTGAGTTTATGTGGCAAGTTTTGGTAGCAGTGGGCCTACAGTAGTGGCTTCTGTGAAGAGATGCCAGAAGCTGCCCCCGTGTCCAACAGAGTCAGTTCTAGTCTGCTTCAAGACAGACTTGCCACTGGACAGGGCTGAGGCAATCAACAATGTTGGTAGTGCCTCTGTGCTAACATACTTAAGAAGGGGGGGTAAAAACTGCTGTGCAACAGCAGCTGGGAGACAGAAGTGAGAGAAACAACTATGGAGACATCAAAGTCATTGAAGAAGGAGGAGGAGGAGGAAATGTTCCAGGCACTGGAACAGAGATGGTGCCTGTGCAGCCTGTGGTGAAGACCATGGTGATGCAGGTTGCCCCCCTGCAGCCATGGAGAACTATGGTAGAGCAGATATCCACTTGCAGCCTATGGAGGACACCACATCGGAGCAGATGGATGATCCTGAAGGAGGGCGTGACCCCATGGAGAGCCTGTGCTGGAGCAGGTCCTCTGGCAAGACTTATGGCCCGTGGGGGACCTGTGCTGGAGGAGTCTGTTCCTGAAGGATTGAACCCCATGGGAAGGACCCATGCTAGAGCAGTCTTATGGAGAACTGTCTCCTATGGGTGGGACCCCACACTGGAGCAGGGTGAGGAGGAAGGAGTGACAGAGACAATGCATAATAAACTGACAGCAATCCCCATTCCCCATCCCATTGTGCTGATTGGGAGGAGAAGGAGAAATAAAGAATGAAGTTGATTCCAGGAAGAAGAGGTGGGGGGAGGGGTAAAGTGGTTTTAATTTTGTTCTTATTTCTCATTATCCTGAGAGATTGGCAATAAATGAAATATTTTCCCCAAGTTGGTCCCCACAGACTGTTTTGCCTGTGACAGTAATTGTTGAGTGAGCTCCCTGTCCTTATCTTGACCCACAAGCCTTCTGTCATATTTACTCCCCCTTGTCTATTTGAGGAGAGGGAGTGATAGAACAGATGGTGGGAACCTGGCAGCTGACTAAGTTCAACCCATGACACCACCCTTCTTAGGGGTATGCTGCTCAAAGACAGAGTCCCCCAGAGCCTCATCATGGCTCTTTCATGGCTGTCAGGAATATTGGGAGGGTGACTGTCTCCCATCCCTCCAGCTTTTGAAGGAGCAGGAGTCAGGCATGAAGACTGAAGTCAAGAGTGGAAGAGATCCTGACCCAAAAACATCCTGGACAGAGGTTGAGATCAGCACTAGAGCTGGAACAGCTTCATACCTGCTTGAAACACCTCCCTGTGTCAGGGGATTGGAACTGTCACTTGGGTCCTCCCTTGCCCTTCTCTTTCCAGCGAAACAGCTCAAATCCCTCCATCTCTTCCTGGTTTGTAGCCTTCTCCATCCCCCATCCCACTTGGTTGCTCAGTGCTGGTCTGGCCCCAGGTTGTTGCTGTCCTGCCAGGGACAGACACTGGCCACAGAGATGCCAAGATGTGGGAGAGGTTGGTGGAGGAATTGCTTCTCCTGACATGCCAGGGGAGATTTGGCACTGTCCAGGAAAAGGGAGGGTCTTCCTAGCTGCAACGTGGGGTCTCTGCAGCATTCTGGGGGGGTTCCTGGGGGAACCACTCAAGGGGGAAGGAGAGTAAGAGCCAGAGGAACCAGACATAGCTAGGGCAGTTTGTAGCTTTTTAATGTGGTGGTTTTCCAGAGCAAACCCCTGTCAGTCTTGAAAGGTCAAGGATAGGATGTGATGTGAGCAGGGAGGAGAGCTGGCGGTGAGGGAGCTCATTTCTGGGCAGACAGCCAGGCCTCAAATGGTGAATTCCTGCATCTCCCATGTGGCCTCGTCACCTTTCCTGCAAGAGGGGGCCACCATGAACTGCGCTTGGGACCAGGGAGCTCATCTCTGCAGAGCTGCTGCTGCTTCAACCCCTGGGCCTACCCATCTGCCCATAAACCTGAAAGCAGATGGTGGGAGGGAGACCTCACCTGTGCTTCCACCACCAAAGCCCCCCAGCAGAGGCTGTGGCCACAAGGAGCAGCGCTGCGATAGTGACGCCAATGGTTGGAGCTGAGCTGTGGTTTTCTGGAACAGGGAGAGAAGAGGCTAGCCGCGTGAGTGTGGCAGCATCAGGCAAGAGCTGTCCCTCACAGGGAGAGTGGCTGCTACCTGCACCCCACGCCCCATCCCCATGGGTGGCACCTACCCCACGGGATGAGGAGGCTGCGGGTGCCCAGGCTGTGGTGGCGCACGCGGCAGGCGTAGCTGTGCCCATCATGGGGGGCCACGGCCAAGGTGCTGCGGAGCTGGTAGGTGAGGTCAGCGTTGGGCAGGATGGCACTGGTGTTGAGCTCTGGGCCTGGCGGCACCTCCTGGCCATCGCGCAGCCAGGCCACACTGATGGGCCGTGGGTAGAAGCCGGTGACGCGGCAAACGAGCAGGATCTGGGCTGGGCTGGGTGTGCGGGCAAAGACCGTGGCCACGGGCAGCTCTGAGGGGCAAGAGCCAAGGGGTGAGGGTAGCCCTGGTGGGGCACTGCTTGGCCCCAGGTTGTGTAGGGTTTGGGGTGGCTGTGCCAGGGTCAGGGTGGTCTCACCTTGTCTATCCAGAGATGCCCTCCCGTACTTGCAAAGGGTGAGGATGTGGCTCTGGCAGGAGGTGGAGAGGAGGTGCTCCAGGAGCCCCGTGATCGCCTTCTTGCTGGTGAGGGACTTGCTGACTAGCTCTGCTAGTGGGGATGGCTGCCGGGTCTCCCAACGCTGCCTCTCCATCTCAAAAGTTATGAAGTCTTTGCCACCCTCCCCAACATCTATGAAGCCCCAGCTTGTCCTATTGGGTTTCAGCACACAGCCTGCACGGATCTGGACCACCAATGGATCTGCCAAGGACAGAGCCGGTGGAGATCCCATGAGTTTGTGGGACATGAGTGACACGAGGTGGGATGTTGTTGGAGGCACATGCAGGGGTGCAATTGGCAGCAGGGTGCAATGGGTAGCAGGTCATGGGGCCATGTTTCTGGAAGCCATGGGACCCTCTGCAAGCCTTCAATCCCCTTGGAGGGTCAAAGTGGATATGGGGCCAGTTAGCACAGGATGGTTGCTCAATCAGAATGTTGTCCCCCAAAATATTTGCCCCCAACTTTCTCTTTCCCTGATCTGTGCTGCATGAGTCCTGCAGCCCTGGTATATTTGTTGGCAGCTCCCTGGTGTGCAGATGGGTACCCCTGTGTCAGATGTCAGGAGCCCTGAGGGGTTTTTCTGGTGTGCTGCCCTCCCTGTCCCTGCTAGTCATGTGTCCCAGCAGCTGCGACATTTCTTATTACCCTTTCAGGAGATGTTTCACCCTATGAGAACTCACAAATGCCACCTTGGTGGGGAGTAAGGCACATCTGGAATGGGGCTAGGGCTCTGGGTGGGGTTGTTCCTATACTCACAGTCCCGTTGTGCCTGCTGTGCCATTTCATGAACATATCGGACCATATTGCGTAGAAAGGGTTTGATGTGGACCTTGATCTTCTCCATGTCACCCTCATTTGTGGCCTGGAGGGCCCAGGGCCAGTGGAAGTGGATGCTCCAATTGGCAGGATCCAGTGCAAAGATAGGCATGTCCCCCAGGAGAGCCACCCCAAACACCTCAGCAGAGCTGATGTTGTCAAAGAGGCTGGTCTGGAGCAGCTGGAAAACCTGTGGCTCTGATGGGAAAGAGGATGGGGATGGGAAGGGCTGCAGGAATGAGAAGATGGGAGGTGGGGCTGGAGAGGAAACAGGTGGTTAAAGATTAATGGAAGAAATTTTTCATGATGAGAGTGGTGAAACACTTTAACTGGTTTCCCAGAGAGGTGGTGGATGCCCCATTCCTGGAAATATTCAAGGTCAGGTTGGATGAAGCTTTGAGCAACCTGATCTAGTTGAAGATATCCCTGTTCATTGCAGAGGGGGATTGGACTAGATAGCCTTTAAAGGTCCCTTCAAACTGAAACGATTCTATGATTCTATGCTCTTCAGCCTGCTTAGGGTTGCTTTCCTGTCTGATCTTCTTCTGCCTCTGCTTTTTTTTTTTTTTTTTTTTCTTCTCTATTTTACTTTCAACAAGGTGTTTCTCTCCTGTAGAGGATTACAGGGACCTTGTCCCCTACCCTCCCTGCCTTCGTCCTGCACAGTGCCTGCTGTCTGGCTGTGTGGAGTGAAGTGGATGGGGGGGGGGGGGGCACCTCAAAGCTTCTTTGGGGAAATGCTTCCCCCAGAAGAAGCATCCACGCCAGGACCTGTATCTGCCAGGGATCTGCACACAGAGGATGTGGAGGATGGAGGAGGGGAAACAACATTTCATCCAGGTTTAGGGGCTTCTGGGCATCAGGAGCTCAAGGAGACTGAACCCTGGCAGGGGCAGGAGAGTATCCCAGCCCAGAGATTAATCCTGCATTCCTATGTCTGCTGCCGCCCTTCCCAGAAACGTGAGGTCTCATGGGGTTGTGGTGAAATGCTGTGTGCAACAGCAGCACCTGAAACACCCTCTCACAGGTGCATCTCCCCAGCAAACAAGGGGCTGCTGGAAGGGGCCCACAGCACTGCATGGGGCTGAGACCCCCCCTGGCACCCAGGGTCTCCCTGCAGGAGGAAGGCACCTTTGGGGGAACCCCAACACCCCAGGACTGAGTGGGGATGCCTGGCCTCACTTCTGCTTGGGTGCCCAAGCATCTGTGCTGGAGTCAGTGGGGCATGAAGCCCTGAGCAGTGGGCAGAAATAGAGAGGGTGGGGAGGGACAAGGCACCTTAGGGTGCTGTGCAATAGGGGGTGGCCCTTTGTTGATGGGGATCATCTACCCCATGCAGGGGACAGTGGTCTGGCCATGCCTCCTCTGAGGAACCTGTGGGGTTCTCTGACAGGGTGGTGAAGGTGGTTGGGATGAGCCAGGGCTCCCACTTACCCTCTGGGTCTGCCCACATCCCAGGGAGGAGGAGGGGGAGAAAGAGGAAGAGGAGGTCAGCGGGCCGCATGGTACACGCAGGAAGGCTGAAGCAGCAGCAGCAGCAGTCACTGCAGGAGGAAGAACCTGTGGAGTCCCATGCTTCAACCCAGCCCAGAAGTCAGGGCCATAGCTCTCTACCAATGGGACTCGTGCAGACATGTTGGGGAGGAGCCTAGAGGTCCGGAGCTGGGGGCTGGGTATGTGTGGGAGGGAGGAAAGCTGAAATAAGTTCTTGAGCATGAAGTGCCATGGCAGGCTGGGGAGAGCCCGGCCAGGAGGAGAGTGCAGGGAAAACGAGTCCCAGAAAATGGCAATAGGAGAAAATGGGTGCTCAAGGACTTGAGATTATTGTCTGACTCTCCCTCCTCACCGATGGTACCTTGTACCTTCTTGTGGGATGCATCAGTTCTGATGGAGGTGACAATGACATTTAGGTTTCAGCCCTGACTGGAGAAAGATGGCTGCTGTCCTCTCAGCCCCTGCACAGGGAGAAGGGCTGCTTTGGGTCCCCCTTGGCACCTCCGTCTCAGGCTTCTCCTGCACCACCTGCCTAATCCTAAATAAAGGAAGTGACGAGCAGTTCTCACCTCGCCCATGGCTGTGGGAAGAGTGCTGGGGAGCTCCAACTCTCCTGTAAACACCCCCAGGAGAGGGCCTGGGTCTGGGATGCAGCCTAGCACTCCCCTTTCCTTCCCACCATCTTTTGTGGGGAACCCCGTCCCTGTCCCCAAGTGCCCCCTGGACATGGGAATGGGAATGGTGGGGAACAGGAATGTCTCTATTTTCACCAGTGTCCAGTGCTGAAGGGACAAGGGGGTGACCAGAGCTAGCCTCACCCCCACAATGTCCCTGGCTCCTCCCTGACTGTCCCTTGAGGCCTCCCCTCACCCTGCAGTTTCTCTTCCCCTTTCCTGGGGGTGCCAGCACTGAGGGAGAAGGCAGAACTGAAACCACAGCCAAGGGGAAGTTTGAGGTGGAACACCCCAGTAATGTCCAAAAACTGAACCCCTTCTCTTCCATGGAGCTGTCTCACAGAGAAGTAGGGACTCTATGGTGGCCTGGTGAGTGCAGAAATGGCACCAGTGGTCCCATTGGCTCACCTTGGCATCACCCAGGGGATGTCCAACCATGCCACCACAACGACCACATCCTTCCTGGCAGGGCCACCAGGGCTGGGGTCAGAGAAGAGTGTTTTTCTGGTGGGATGGCGAAGTGCAGCCATGGGGTAGCCAGTGAGGGAAGGGGCAGGGGGGCTTTTGTCCGTGCAGTCCTATGAGGTGACTATTGGTCCTCATGGTCCCCTCCTAAGGTGACTGTTGGTCACTTCTTGCTGAACAGCTGATAGGCCATTATCAGGCCTCCGGCTTGTGTGGGTGCATGTGAGGTCACTGGTGGCTGATGGGCAGGTGCAGGCACCTGACTTTACAGGTGCTCATGATGTGTTCAGCCCCCTCTGAATTTTTTCCAGATGTCTTCCACTGTTGCAGTGGACCAGAAGTTTGGCTTTAGCTCTTCCTCTTCTCTATTGAATGTACTTGGCCTCATGTTTTTGTTGTTTTTTTTTTTTTTTTTTTTTCACTTTCTTACTTGCTGTAGCAGAAGTCATGATTTCTTCTTCCTTGATATTGTCACTTCCTTTGGTCAGAAAATGACCAAAGAGGGCAGGGGGCTGTTCATCCGCACAGACCATTGGTCCTCAGAGTCCCCTCAAGTGAGTGGTAGTTCTCAGAGTCACCACCTTGGTTACCATTGGTCCCCACAGTTCCCTCAGGTGACATTGGTTCTTACAGGCCTCCCAGCTGACCACTGGCCCTCACAGTCTCCCCCCCAGGTGACTATAGGAATTTACAGTTCCACCTTATGTGACCATAGGTCCTTGCAGTCCCTCCTCAGGTGAAAGCTGTAACCTCGCTGAGCCCAGAGCCACGCCTGGGTGAGTTGGGGTGGGGTGGGCAGGGCTGCAGTGCCTCTGGGTGCTGCACTGGGCATGTGAGTACCAGCACCAACTGGGCTGGGCCAAAATGCCCAAAGAGACTTCTTGAAACACCTGGGTGTTTGTGTGTGTGTTTTTGCAGTCTTCTGGGGGCTGTGAACAAACAGTTGCATACACCTCCCTGGTACTGGGCGTTTGGGTGTGTGTTATTGTAAGGTCTCTTGGGAGGTCATGTATAGGACCAACTATTCTTACCTGGTTTGCTTAACAGCTGCCTCTGCTTTCCAGGTTTGGTGGGAGAGCTTCTTCCTGCCATGTCCTGTGAGTGCTGCAGGGTGTTTCACTCTGTTTGGGAGATGAATTGCCCTGTGTGCCCTGTTGGTGCTGAGGCTGCAGGCTCCCATCCCCAAGGTGAGCCCTGCCCACAGCCAAAAGTTTCATCTGTCTGTCCTAGCTCAGCAAGGGCTGGGAAGGACTCAGCATCACTCCTACTGCAGCGAGATCCTTGAGCCCTATGGTCCTGGCAGGTGACTGGCTGTCAGAGAACTTCAGTCCTGCCAACAGCAATGTGGTTTACAGGGACTGTCAAGGGGAGAACCAGCCCTGATAGAGCTGTGGTGGGTATGGCCACAGGCCAGCTGGGTTTTATTCTGACTCAGCTGATAGTTGTCTTGCACATGGCTGCCAGTTTTATTCTGTGAAACTTTGTGAGGAAGTTGTGCTGTGAAACAATACCTTTTGAAACCGCATGTTCAAGTGTCTGGATGATCGGGAGCAAGAGCTAAATTCTTTCCTATGCCTGTCTGAACTCGTGACAGATGCACTCAACCCCTTAACCAAGCTAGCAATGGTTTGGTACAGGGTCTAAGGGAGGTAAAGGCCTGGGCTGTAGCCGGACCAAGAACTCCTCTAGAAAACCCACAAAAGAACAGAGTGACCCAGTGAGCATCAGTGCTTATGAGCTTGGAACAGGGCTCATGCCATTAACATGTGAATAGTGGGTGGTTTTCCAGGACTCATATAATAGATACGGGAGCATAAAGTTCCATACTAACACAACAGGATGCCAAGAAGCTGGGTGTGCGACCTGGATGGCAGAGAGTTAAAGTAATCTCAGAAAACAGAGCAAGTGTTATTTGCCAAACAACAAAAATTGTTGTAGGGATCCCAGGTGAGAAGCTCATGTCATCTACTTGCTTTGCAATTTAAAAGCACAATGAAAATATTTTGGGTTTTGATGTTCTAACTGGACAAAACTGGTTCCTGCCAGATGGCAGCATGTGTTTTTTTTTGCTACAAGTACCGACTCCAACTGTGGTAGAAATTGTGAGGCTACAGTTTGTGTACTCCATGTGGCCCCTGCACTCCCCGATTCAAAAATTACCAATGTACCTCAATATCTGATTACTGCTGTGGAAAAAAATGGAATTTCTGAGGTAATAGCAAACTTGGAAAAATGGCATATTATTTCCAGAACTCACTCTCCATATAATTCACCAGTCTTTCCAGTCTAGAAACTGGATGGGAGATGGTGTCTAACAATAATAGGCACTCAAATGCCAACACAGCCCCACTAATGGCTGCAGTACCCAATATTGTAACTTTAACAGCCACACTACAAGCAGCCACACATCCATGGATGGCAGTGCTAGATGTCAGAGATATGTTCTTTATGGTCCCCTTGCAGGAGAAGGATAAAGAGTAATTTGCTTTTACTTGGGAAGGTTTACAATACACCTTAAATAGATACACGCAGGGGTATAAACATTCACCCACAATTGCTCATGCTGCACTTGCTGAACTTCTACAGTCTCACTTCCTCAGGATGTGAAACTGTACCAGTATATAGATGTTATTCTAATCAGAGGGACTTCCCCTGAAAAGGTGGAGGAAGTGGCAGCAGCAGCAGTGTGGCAAGCACTACACAAAGCAGAAGTTGAGATTCACCTGAGAAATGTCAGGGACCAAGTAGAGAAGTAACACTTTTAGGTACTTGGTAGATAGTGGGCAGTGCAGGGATTCCTCCAGATACCTTAAGAAAAATAGAACAGCTGCAAATGCCCTACTCTAGGAAAGAGATACAACAGTTAATGGAAACTTTAGGACATTGGAGAAAACACGTACCAGCATTTTCTATCATTGCTCACCCACTGTGCTCACTTTTATGAAAGGGAAAACTATGGAGATGGAACCCAGAACATGAAGAGGCAGTCAAAACCTTAGTACAGGAATTAAAAACATATCATTCATTGGGACCAGTACGCTACCACGACCTCATTATAGCTGAATGGAGTTTTGCTGAACATGGTGCTTACTGTAACCTATTCCAAACTGGCCCTGATGGACCAACGAGGCCTTTAATGTTTAACTGAAGTACAGTTAAAGAGACAGAACAGAGATATTCTGAGCGGGGGGGAAAAGAGACTTTTGTCTTAGGCCAAGCAGTTAAACAAGGTGAGCCACTAATGTGTAACCTGTCCAGAAAGACCCTGATGAGACTTGTATTGTTTTCCCTTTCCAGGAACATTACCAGGAATGATACCAGCACACCTGCCCTGGAGATCAAGTTAATCATTGAAGGACTGCTTTGTCTTCTTGCAGGAGTAATCATTGCCAGCATGAAGCAAATTCAGTTTACCCATCAACAGGCTTGACCCACAGGGTGGTGACCCTTACTTCTTCTATTTGGTTTGAGGTCCTGTACCTGAGACTAAGAGATCCTTCCTTACTTAAGTCAGAGAGACCCCTTATTCACAACAGATCCTAGTTAAGCAACTGATAGCATGCTGAATTAATACTGCTGAAGTCTGTGTAGCTAATTCCATTAGACACAAACTGTTGCCCAAGTCTGAGACTAAGTCTGGATTGAGCTGCACCTAGCCTCCTTTCTGAAAAGGAATTTAGAAAGCAATGGGTTCCACTCTGAACCTCATGACTCAGAAGGAGGGTCTCTCTTACGTATCTGGCCTCTGTGTAAATCATTCTAACTCAATTTTCTTTTCTATGTTTCTTTCATGTAGTAATAGAATGAAGCTTGCCATCAAGCTTTGTTAAGTTTTACTTTTATAACATCATATTAAAATCACTTTTGCCAATACCTTTGACAGTGATTCTTTAAGTGATCTAAATCACTCATCTGCAACAAATTGGCATAGTCAGCAGGATCCTAAATAAGAATTCATGGCAGAACTCCATTGTCTTCTGTGGGAGACTAGCTCCCTTTTTATCCTTAACTGGGAGGCCTGGGGGCACTTTACTGCCATGCGCACAGTTGCTTATTTCCATGAAATATGTAAGAATGTGTCTGCATATGCACAAACACACTTTTTTTTTTTTTTTTTTCCTTTTCTTTCTTTGATGTTTCTTGCAATTATCACCAATAATTCAATGGTGTTCTAGTTTCGTTTTGCAGCTGGTCCTCCTTCAGCCCAAACAAAATCTGAGGAAAGGCACACGTTCTTAGTGAAAACATGAATGTTTTAATTTCATTTTATACACATCTGCAGCTCCCACAGATTACATCAGAGTTTCAGTGTTACTCAGCACTTTGTAAAACGGTTTGTGGCCAGGTGCTGTTAGTCTGTGTGGAACAGTTCAGCCTCAGCAGAAATATTTCTGGAATGTGGTTAATAAAGGCAGCTTTTAGGAAAAAATACTAGAAAGTGACACTAGAAGGGCACAGCTTACTGCTTATTGATAAATGTGTTATTGTACCAGAAGTGTGAGAAATTGCCATTGGGCATTGTGGTGCCCTAAAGAGCCTTAGTGGGTGCATGGGGCAGTGCCATGAGGTAAGAGGTGATCGTATGTAACAAATGAGGATGTCTCAGACTTGCATACTTGCCTGCTTAGCAAATTGAAGTGGGTCAGGAACCCCTCAGATTTCCCCCCTGCGTCTCTGAGTTGAGTTGATCTCACACTCAGCAGTGCCCAGAATTTTGTCAGAGCAGAAAAAGGTAGAGTTTTTGTCCCTATGAGAGTGGCAGAAGGAAACAGAGAATGTTTGCTCCCTTCTGATCTAAGCTTCTTTGCTGACGATGGAGTTCCTGGACTCTGATTCCTCCATCTGCTGGTGCTTTCTGAAATGAGAGGGGGATGTCTCATGGGTATTCCATGGAGAACACCTTGTGGAGGTGCAGACAGCAGCTCCAGGGCCAGAGCAAGAGCTTTGCTATTAAGTGCAGCAGTCCTCTGGGGTATTTCCTCCCATTTTCTCCCACTGCTGCTCTGCGTGACAGAAGGTGCCTCACCTGAGCCTCCACACCCAAAGCGCTGTGATGGTAGCCATGGTCATGGCAGTCAGCAGCCCAGCCCCAAGCCCTGCGATCAGCACCACTTCTGAGTTCCCTGAGAAACATGAGCAGAGGCTGCCATGAGCTTTCCAGGCTTTTCTCCAGCCCAGGACCTCCAACCCTGTCCCAATGGGTGGCACCTACCCCACGGGATGAGGAGGCTGCGGGTGCCCAGGCTGTGGTGGCGCACGCGGCAGGCGTAGCTGTGCCCATCATGGGGGGCCACAGCCAAGGTGCTGCGGAGCTGGTAGGTGAGGTCAGCGTTGGGCAGGATGGCACTGGTGTTGAGCTCTGGGCCTGGTGGCACCTCCTGGCCGTCGCGCAGCCAGGCCACACTGATGGGCCGTGGGTAGAAGCCGGTGACGCGGCAAATGAGCAGGATCTGGGCTGGGCTGGATGTGTGGGCAAAGACCGTGGCCACGGGCAGCTCTGAGGGGCAAGAGCCAAGGGGTGAGGGTAGCCTTGGTGGGGCACCGCTTGGCCCCAGGTTGTATAGGGTTTGGGGTGGCCATGCCAGGGTCAGGGTGGTCTCACCTTGTCTATCCAGAGATGCCTTCCCATAGTGCAGTAACACCTCCATGTCATCAACACAGGTATCATTGAAGAAGACTTCCACCAGCTCGCTGAAGGCAGTATAGTTCTGGAGAACAGCCTGGACGTACCGTGACAGGTTGGTGTCTTGGGAGAGGACCCAGGTGGCCTTGTCCATGTCAAAGCTGAGGAAGTCCTGGCCATTGTAGCCCACATAGGCAAAGGACCGGGAGGTCCTGTTCGGGTAGAGCTCACAGCCCGCCATGCACTGGGCCACAAAGGGGTCTGGAGGGGCAAAGAGGAGAGAGGTTGCACGAGGGGCTGGAACTTCCTGCAGACATGGTCAGCATTTGTTCAGAACCAGCCCTGCTGGGTCCTTCCCCACTTCCCAGATGCTGTTCAGAGAGGGGATGCAGGGAAGACCAGTTACTCACAGGGCACATCTTTCTGCATGGCACCTTCATTGATCAGGTGGTTGAACTGCTGCAAATAGATCTTGATCATGTTCTCAATGGTGTCCCAGTCACTGCGGGGCAGGGCTGGGCGCACCCAGGGCTGGTAGAAGTGGATCGTCCAGGTGTGCTTATCAAGAGAACCAAGCTCGATGTCTTCCAGCAGGCCCAGCCCCTCTGTGTCCACGAAGGATGTGTTTTGGAAGGTGGAGGTCTGGAGCAGCCGGATAGTGAAGGTCCCTACACGAGACGGAGGTCAACCAGGGGAGATGGGAGTGGGAGTAGAGGGCTGGGGAAAGTGGAGGGGCTGAGGGACGAGTCCTCAGGGGTGCAGGAACCTGTGGACCTCCCACAAGGCCTGTGCATCCTTCGCAGCCCCAGATCCCACTCCCTGAACCTACCTGGGGTGGCTGCATCCCCACAGAGGAGGAGGTGTGGATCCAGGGTACAAGGAGGGGTGAGGAGGTAAATGACCAAGGAAGGTGGGGAGAAGGAAGCACCTCACCCGTGGGGTCCCACAAGGGTATGGGAGCAGGTGTGGAGGAGCTAGGGCTCCCACTTACCCTTCAGGTCTGCCCATGTCCCAGAGGGGAGGAGGAGGTAGAAGAGAGGGGGGATGAAGCAACAGCAAGGAGGCTGCATGATACCAGCAATGAGGCCCTGAGCGTGCAGTAGTGGGTGCAGCAGCAGGAGGAAGGGGCTGTGAGAGATGTGGCTGCACACTTCTTCTCAGGGTGGCTTTGCCCAGGCAGCTCTGCTGGTGCTAGTTACCCTGACAGCCAATGGGACTGGCACTGAGGTTTTGGGGAGGGCCTCAAGGTTCCTGCTTGGAGTGGGCTGGTCTGGGGCATCCTCAGCATGGCTGTGTGTGCTGATGGAATTTGGGTGGGAGTGAGGACATCCCACTGACTGTAGGAGGGGTCTTCTACATCTGCAGCAGCACCTTGACAATCAGGGCAGTGCAGGTGACCCAACCCCTCTTTTCTACCCCCATGGAGTTGCCACCTAGTCACGGGATGCACGCACTGTCCCTGACAAGAATGTCCATTGCTGCCACTCATGCTTGGCATGTCTGTCCCTGCGTAGCACAGATATCTCCATCCTCTCTGTGCTGCCTACTTAACCAAGCGGGTTTGCCCCAATGTGACCATCTTTCCCTCAGACAAGGTGTACCCTGTTCCCACAGCTTGTCCACAACCATGGGTTCCCAGGCTCTGCACTGGCCCCATGCCTCTTTGTGACCTCCTGGCCATTCTGCAGCTAGGCCATGCTGATGAACTATGGGTAGAAGCCAGTGATGTGGAAAATCAGCAGGACCAGAGCTGGGCTAGGTGTGCATGAGGAGACCATGGCCATGGATGGCTCTAGGGTGCAAGAGTGAGGGGAGCTTGTGATATCCCCTGACTCCTTGTCACTGCTGGCCTGTTCCTGGGGAAGGGGACTCCCCAGGGAAAATGTGACAAACAGTTCCAGCCTGGCCCACAGTTGCAGGGTTAGGGACAGGTGCAGACAGGGCTGGAGGAAGTGGCTCCTCCAGGAGCTCCTCTTGGAGCTCAGAAAGTGGATGGGCTGGAGCAGCTGTAGTGTGATGGTCCCCAAGGGGAGAGACAGGCTGCAGGTCCTGGAAGGGACTGTTTCCCAGTGACAGTCATTGGACTCTTGGAGAGGTGGTGCTTGTCCAGGCAGGATCCCTAAGCTGGGACAGAGATGGGACCATTGTCCCCCACACTCTGAGGCCCATTCCAGGGAACAGCCTCCTTATTTCCATGGAGCTCCATCCATGCCATGGAACCTGGGAGCTGCCTCTCTGTTTCCCCGCACTCCACAGTGCTGGGGAGCTCCAACTGTCCTGTAAATGCCCCCAGGAGAGGACCTGGGGCTGGGATGCAGCCTGGAACTTCCCTTCCTCCCCACCATCTTTGGTGGGGATCCCTGCCCGCCTCCCCGGGTGTCCCCTAGGCATGCGAACATCCCCCTGCTCTGTCTCCATTGTCACCAGTGTCCAGTGCTGGAAGGACAAGGGGTGACCAGAGCCGGCCTCACCCCCACAATGTCCCCTACCCACTGCTCCTCCCTGACTGTCTCCTGAGGCCTCCTCTCACCCTGCAGTTTCTCTTCCCCTTTCCTGGGTGTGCCTGTGTTGGGGGCAAACGCAGAACTGAAACCACAGCCAAGGGGAAGTTTGAGGTGGGGGTGCCCTGATAACCTCCAAACAAAACCAGGTCTGAGATGTCCCCTCTGCAATGTGGCAGGGTGCCATGTGACCCCTCTGAGCACAACTCTGTCCCTGTTCCATGTCTCCATCTTGGGTGTCCCCAGCTGTTGTGGGGACACAGGAAAGGCCCATATGGGGCTGCTGGAGGCTGAGCTCTAGCACCTCATAACAATGAGTCAGATATGGGGAGTCAAGGACATTGAATCCCTTCCCTTCCATGGACCTGTCCCATGGAGAAATAGGGATGCTTTGGTGGCCTGGCACACCCATAAATGGCACCAACTTCCTGAGCAGCTTACCTCATCATCACCCAGGGCATGTCCAGCAATGTCCACATCCCTCCCAGCAAGACCGGCAGTGCTGGGGTCAGAGGAGCGTGTTTGGCTGGTGGGATGGCAAAGTGCAGCCATGGGGTATCCAGTGAGGGAAGGGGCAGGGGGGCTTTGGTCCACACGGTCCTATGAGGTGACCATTTGTTCTCACTGGCCTCCCTAAGGTGACTGTTAGTCACTTCTTGCTGAACAGCTGATAGACCATTATCAGGCCTCTGGCTTGTGTGGGTGCATGTGTTGTCACTGACACCTATCCTCCTGCTTTCCAGTTTCCACTCCCCTTCTTATAGTTGCAGGTTACAGTTATTTCCTTTGATGTGGTTGCAGAGGCATGGGAGGTTGTGCTTAGTGCTCAGCTGTTTCTTTCAACCTTAAACTTTTCTTCTGCTTCTTCTTCCTTCTTGCTTGTTTCCTTTGCTTCAGAATAGGTCCTCTACAGCCCACAGTCCCTTTGGAGAACTACATTTTCTCACATGGTCTTATTTATAGACCACAGTCTCTTTGGGGTGTACCTGGTCTTCCATGGAGCACCCCCTGTTGCTCTGACCTTGCTGTTCCTTTTTCTGGGTATTTACTTCTCTTTCTTAAATACGTTGTCACAGAAGTGCCACAAACTCCTCGTGTTCAAAGGAGGTGAGCTGACAGGAACCAGCTATCATCAGCATAGGTCACTTCATGTTTTCCTCTGCAGAGGTTGCCCTGGTAGCCCTCCATCTCTCCACCCACCACCCCCCCCCCAAAAAAAAAAAAAAGACCTTGCCAATTATGCCCAATACAATTTTTTACTGCAGTACAGATGCAATGGTTTGAACTGGATGATTATTTAGCTGAGATTATATTGGGGTTGGTGCATATTCACAGTAGTACAACAAAAGTTACATTTTTGAGGGACTGCAGTGCACTTTCGTCTTTCTAATTTAGTTCAAGGATGGCTTCTTGATAACACCTGTCATTAAGAAACTGTTAAGAAACCTGGTCATAACCCCACCTTCACTTGGGAACTGCTTGTAACCAAGAATCTTGTCCTTGGCTCCCACCTGTGCTACAAAGGAGCCATGTTGCAGCTCTGTCTGTGGCAACTCTTGTACCTCCTCATTCCTGACACCAGTCCTGTCCCATTGGCTTGACTGGATCTGAATTATCAGCTTAGATTTGCTAGGTGACCACTGGACTCCTGGCTGATGCTGGTTACAATTTCCAGATCTGATTCTTACTCTGAATTTGCTGATTTGACTTCCCGGCTCCTCGCTGGTGATGTAGCAACCTTCCTCCCTTGCTCTGACCCTCTGATCCTAGCTCACCTTCCCTTGTAGAGCAGCCTGTCCTTGACATCATAGCTGTCAATGGAATACACTGGGTTTGTCCTAGGACCTCCCAGTGAGCTTTTGTACATGAAGAGTGATTTAGTCATAAATCTTGGCCACTTGGTCTTTGCTGGAGCTACACCATTTTCATATCAGCTGGAGACCTGATTCTTCTCAGTGATGCTAAGTTATTTTGTCCTTTTTGTGAAAAGTGGTTTAAGTGATCCAAACTATAAACTGATTTTATATTCATTAAGTAAACTGTCCAACTAGCCAAATTGTCTTTGATCTGCTGATACATCTTAGGATGAGAAGCTTTGCACTTTCAAACTTATTATTCCCAAGAATGGGATGAATCAAACCTGAGATCTGCCTTCTTCTCTTCACTGTTGGAGCCTAGGTGATCAGACCCATGCAAAATGTGAACATGCCTATTGGTACAGAAAACGAACCTTTTAATTTCCACCCATCCCTGGTTTTGCTTTTTAATGATGCTTTTCTTCTGTTTATATAATGAGACCCAAAACCATCTAAACACCGAAATGAGGTGCCTTAGGGTAGGGTGCAACTTACTGTGGGTGATTTCACATAATGATATAACTTGCCCTGTTTCTTTTATTAGCACATACTAAAATTTGAACGGGTTTGGTAGTATACAACACTTAATTGCTTCCCTTGTATTTCTTGGTTAAAGTTTGCTGAGCAAACACAGAAACTTCATTATTCCAAGCTATTAAAGACACCTAAAGGGAGAAACTAGTGTCAAGGAGCAATGTAGACTTTTTGTCTCCCCTGTACTCTTATTTTCTTGAATACATCCATTATCTCCCACATTACGAGTATAAAAACAACTTAAGATTTCTCTTAGCTTTTCAGATAGTTGAGTTTAAGTCTTGGTATAAACTGTAACAACGGGATGCCCTCTTGTTATTTCAGCTGTAGATGAATGCACTTATCAATGTTGACATTAGTCAAAGAAACCTTGGTAGGTGTGAATTTCCTATCCAAACAACATTGTCTTTATTGTATGGGATTATAGTCGAGCTACTTTAGTGGAAGAAACATTTACTTCAAGGACACAAGTCATCGCATAGGTTTCAAAGACTGGGGAACAGATTCATCCCCTCAAGTTACTATTTCTAAATATTAACTGTAAAAGTACAAACCATTTCCTAATTGCAGACATCTGGTGACATTTGACATACCCAATGATAATGAGCATGGTCTTGATTTATTATTGCAGAAGACCAGGTTTCACATGTCCTTTTTGCCAGTCTCACACACTTACCTTGGACACCAAAGGACATCTCATGTGGTGCAAGGCATCAATACATGGGCAAATGAGTCAAACATGATCTAAAAGCTTGTGAAGAAGTTACTAAAGGGTTCATCTCATATGTCTCGTCTATTAGAAATGGAGATGTGACCCTAGACTAGAGATATTTGATATCATTTTAGGTGATCCAGCATCATTTTCCTGCTTCAAAGCAGTTCAAGTTTCCTATAGGTCCTCTACCATTCCTCTCAGCCTCAGACAGACACATCAGATAGCCAGGGATAGACAGATCTGTAAAAACAAGCAAAGTAACACCTATGTGTCTTTCCCATGAATGCCTGAAACGAGAGGAGATGAATCCTAACCATGAAATGCATTTGAAAATGACCAAACTTCAGTTCAGTCTAACACAGTAAATGATAAAAATTTGCCCTCAAATATGGAGTATAGGGTGGTTCTTTCCCCTTGGGCACTTTCATCCCATTTTGTCTAGTTGTTTGGAGATTAAAGCATTGTTCCAGAAAAATGGTGCTATCAAATGATTAAGAAAGAGAAGGTATCTACCCTTTATTTAAAGAAGTGTTTATTCTTTTCTTC